GATTGTCCTGCTGTTTTGTTTTTTATGCTTGGTGTAGCATAAAATTACAGCACTTAAAGATTTTCAGATCAATTATATACAGCATACAATTGCCTATGGTGAACTTCTTTTTGGTGGAAAATTAGGTTTAGAGTTACAAAAAGGCAAAGGTTAAGGAAGCTGTCAAGAGGATAGATCAATCCAACTGAAATGGGATTGTAAAATATTTTGTCAACTGATTAAATATGAATTCTGTGAATATGTTTAGGTTGTGTCACCCATTCTGCATGGCAGAAAAATCTTCTGTGCAAATAACCTCCAAAATATAGCTAAGAATTACTGATTTTTTATAGTAGCTTCTTTTGTATAATTAATGAGCTGGGCTTGGCGTGCTATTATTTTCTGAATTGAATAAATGCAGTCTTAAGTGACTTTTTAATTTATCTACTTGTAGGGTTTTACCAAAGAGATTCACTTGGAGAAGGACCGCTGGCAAGGGTATGGTTAATCTACAGCTCAAAGGCCATTTAGTTTATGCTATTGTTAAGAAAACAAGGAGTTGAAGATGTCCTTGATATCTTTCTAGGCTATGTATAATAATGTCTTTACATTTCTAGGTATATCAAAGACTATGATGGAGGGATCCTTATGGAATGTAAAATTGATCCAAAGCTGCTGTATACTGATTTATCAACCATGATTCATCGTCAGAGGCAGGTAAAGTTATTATTTGCTCAGCAATGAACCTTTTTTTTCTTCTATCAATTACCGTAACCCTCTATAATATCCCAATTCAACTTGTGAGGTATTGTTTGCTTTTTCCCATTAGATCTCATGATTTTATTCTCAATAGTCACCTGACAAGCTGGGTTCAAGGTCCTTCATAGATAACACTGGATCTTCCTAGTGCACATCTGATATGGGATCCATATGGGTTAGAAATCTCTTCCTCTCCAACCCTGTTTTCATCACTAGGAAGCCACATTATCCCCACTTCTTGGGTCAAATCTGGGAGGCCTGCAACACTATTATCACTGTTCTACTCCCTTGATTGACCTATGATAATAACATAGATGCACATAGTTCCCAGCCTGGCTTATTGTGGGATGTCGAGAATGGATAACTGAACAATTGATGGTTATCATAACTGATTTATAGTTTCAGTGGTGTGTGAAGAAATTGATAACCAATCGCAATCCGCAATCAATTAATAACTTTTAACCAAAGTTTGTTCTTTTCATTACTTATATTTTTCCCTTCTCACTATTCACATGTATATTCTGACTTCATTTTGTTAAACTTCTCCTAAAAATGTGCTTTATTCTTTGTTATTTGGGATTTATAGGCAATTGATGAAAAGATAAGGGAGCTCTCAAACTGTCAAATTGTTTACCCAGGAATTGATTTTCAGAAGGTACATGGATCTCATGCTGCATATGTGCTGTTAGTTTGATTTAATTCAAATCCAATATTTGTTAATAAATTACAGTTTGTGTTGAAGTCACCTGTTAGGCCTTAAATCATGTTCAATTTTACATGTACAATATCAATGTTTGTTTTGCATTTTAAATTTTACCCAATGCCATCATTGTACATTTTTGTTGAGGAGGTATTTGTTTTCTCAGCATTCTAGTTTTGTCTTTTACTTTGCCTGTGTACATTGCTTGCATATGTATATTTGTTCTTAAACCGCATTCCTGCTCACTGAGCTCTGTTTTCTTGTCAGTTTATTCATTTATTTATCTTAGCGTTCTAATCAGTGAGTGAAAAAAGATCATTTTAAATTAGATCTAGTGAAGTGCACAAATCTTGTCCCACATCAGTTGTTGGTCTCCCTAAATTTTTTATAAAATTATTTTTGTTCTTTCCATACTTTCCTTTGTAAGGTTCAGTGGTTGAGCTTTTGCAAATGATGTATTAATATTTCAAACATAGTTGTAATGAAAAATTCATTTGATTCAGAAAGAAGCTGGTATTCCTAAAAAAGTCGTCAAAATTGAGGATATCCCTGGTTTGAGTAAGTTCTTTTGTCTCTTATTGCATCACTTAATTTGTGTTGTTTTGTTTGCTTATTCATTCTTGGCTTTTGGTAGACATCAATATATTAGGTAATTTCCCTGTTAGTACTTTCTTGTGTTTCATATGAATATTATATTATATCTGATATTCTATTGCAATTGTATGCATTTTTGTAGCTTCACGAATTTGGTTGAATATATATCCCTCCCTGTAGATAAACTCTTTCAGTTTCCAGTTAGGAGAATATATTAAGTTCATGTTTGATCCAGCAACTTGCAATATTTTTTCCCTTTCTTTGGTTAGTTTTGTTGGGTAATTTATATACACAAAGACTGTTTGTGTGCAGTAAGTTTTAACTAACTGAATCCTAAATTTTTGTTTAATTTGGTAACAGAGGAAGCCGGATGGACTCCTGATCAATGGGGCCATACACGATTTAGAGCCTTAATTGTTTCCACAGACAATGCTACAAATCAGAAACATTTAACTGGTTTCATGCGCTCACTTCTAAAGGCAGGTTTCTAAACTTTTAATTGGTCCTCATCTGCATATGATTTTCATTATTGCACTTCACGATAGACAGTTGATTTCCCTTTAAAGTTGTAGTCGGATATAATTTGGAATAATTGTGCTTTGTGATATTGCAAATGAATCTGGTCTGGAGGTTTGTTAAAGGAATATGCATGTGCCCTTCTTCTAGCAATCAAACACTTAATTTCCATTTCCAATGGATCAATGTCTAAGATGCAGGGGAAGCTATTTTCCACCTTAACCCTTTAAAGGAAACTTTCAGTACTCTTGCAATGGTCTAATTGCGGCATATATGTTAACAAATTGTTGCCCTTTGCTTTTTCTTATTTAACTAGGTTTTCTCTCCAATTATTTGGCTGACATGAGATATCTATTTGAGCATCTTCTGCCATCGATTTTCATTGGATTCTAAGCAAATTGGTTATGTTCAAGCAGTCAATGCATGACCACGTTGATGCTTGGCCATTCAAGGAGCCGGTTGATGCCCGTGATGTCCCTGATTATTATGATATCATCAAAGATCCCGTGGGTAAGGTTTTATCAGATTTATGTCTCATCCTCTGATTTCCTCCTCCACCACCCCCACACACCGCCCAACCCCCCCCCCCCCCCCCCCACCGCAAAAAAAAAAAAAAACTCATATTTCTACAAACTGTCGTTTCCTTTCTGAAAATTATCTGAGATGTGCTTTCACCATTTTTTGTGGTCATATCTTTGCCAATTGTATATAGCCTAAAGTACTGAAGAGGCAAGTGATTCAGTTATAAAACTAGCCTAAGTGAACCCTTGTGTTGAGAGTAGAGGAATAGTCATTTATGGGTCATGTTAAAAACATACCTTGGAGATAGTTTTCCCTGTTAAGTAGGTTAGGTTTAAGTGAAAGGTTTTTATTTTGTAATTTTTCTTTTAGAAACTACAACTGATAGAAGCCAAATGCCCAATCTTACCTGGAAGTGGAAAACTAAAAGCAGTGCATTATATTTAGTTTGGCTTGATGACTTTGGAATTTTCATGGTTTCTTTGTAAATCAGAATCCTGAATTAGTAGCGATGACCTTTTGTCTATTAGCTTGACTAAAGTTTCAAGTTTCTATTCTGAATATTTACAGCTTAGCAGGTCATTAAAATTGGTTGTTTGCATAAACAACTCCTAATTATACCACCAGCCAAGCTTATTGAAGGTTCAGTTGGTTTAGGAATACCATAATCAAGTTATACCTCATGTGATAACTTGTGCTCCAGGTTATACAGATGCTTGAAAGTGGAACATACAGCAAATATTCTTATGCTTGATTGTATATCCTTGTAATGCAGATCTGAAGACTATGTCAAAAAGAGTTGAATCAGAGCAATATTATGTAACACTAGAGATGTTCGTGGCTGATGTCAAGAGAATGTTTGCCAACGCACGCACATATAATTCTCCCGATACAATATACTATAAATGTTCAACCAGGCATGATAATCACTTCCTTGTGCTTATCTGTTGTAATTTTTATTTATTTTTTGTTCATCAGGATTATAAATATGCAACCAGGCGTGATATGATTGGTGTCATGTCCTTGTGCTCATCAGTGCTAAATATTTTCCTTTTTGATCTTTCATCATGATTTTGACTTTAAAAAAGTTTATTGCAGACTGGATGCGCATTTCCAGAGCAAAGTTCAGTCAGGTCTCCAATCTAACACCAAAATTCAGTAGTGAGAACTCGACTCAGGTCTTACTCTCTGATGAGATCAGGTTTCAGTGATTCAGGCATTTGTCCCGATTCAAGAATATGCAAGCATTAGTCTTCATGGTCTCGTCTATAATCTACAAATCTTACTCTGGGGAAATGCAGAAATGTCCACCGCGCGTTGTACATGTGAATGTGACGTATGTTTGACGAATAATTTAATATATCGCTAATGGGGTTAAGCACAGACAAAAAACACCTCATGATAATTAAATTATTTTGCATCAGTTAAAAGTGTCACGGTGATTGCTAACTGATATGAATCAGGTAAGTATATCATCTTATTGTAATTGATATAATTTGAATTCCTTGATTAATCATGTATGTTCCCGATTATTTACGCGCATGGTTCTGAAAATGGCTCCCAACCTGCCAGATTGAGCTCGTAATGACATGGCTCTTAAAGCATGGTTATCCTGATGGAAGAAAATAGCTGTTTATCAACCTCTGAAAAGGATGTAAATACACAGTTGATGGAATTATTTGGTAAATCGCAGCACCCATGGATGTTGTGTAAGTAATTTATTCAATAATTGAATTGGAACATTCATTGCCCATTGGGTTTGCTGCATTTGTGATCTCCACTGAGACAAATACTGAACAATATTCCTTCATGGTCGGGGATATCGGATACGGAACATTATACCTTGAAAATCTATTCATTGTCTATTGCATGCAATTATCTCATGCGCGAGACAGCTTGTCAGAAAACAAGTATTCACTCTCCATGTTCCACCTTGAAAGGCTGATAACGGCAGATTTTACTCCTGAATGGAATTTCATACAGAATTATTTACCATATAAGTTTACCCAAGGAACTGACAAGTACGGCCATGTTATGATGACAGATATGATGGTCAACGTTGATGAAGATCTTAAATACAAGAATGCAGTGAGAATCAATACCCATGAATAGATTTAACCAATAGTAGTACCACCAGCTAAGCTTCTCCAAAACCAACTCCGGAAACAAGAGGAGAGGCTCTAAAATTCAACTTTGCTTCTTGTTCTTGGCAGCCGCATGGGCTAGTCCAGGCTCCCAGCCAGGCATGGTTCCGCATGGACTGACACCAGGGCCAATCTGCTTTTGCATGCCACCATGCGCTATCTGATCTTGAACGCGCTCCAAGCTGGGTGTATGCTGCAAAGCAGATGTTTCATTGACATTATTCACTCCTACCTCAGTTTGTGGATTCACAATAGGAGGAACCAGGGTGTTGCCCCGGAAACTGTTGTCCACTCCCTGATGATGCATGGGAGCAGCAATGCTTGGAACTGGTTGCTGAAAAAACTGGTTAGTGTTTGGCTGCAATGGTACAGGAGCAGCTGTAGATGCTTCCAATGGGCTGCTAACAAAAGGCATTCCTACACTAGGTACATTGGGCCTAGATAGAAGCACAGGGTTAATCCCTGTCACCCGCTTAACTGTTTCTTCAGCCATTTTCACCTGAAATTTTCAAATAGAAAAATCAACCTTACAACCCAGAATTAAAGTTGCAGCAGCAATAGCATAATCAATAGTGACTTATAGCAACAATGAAAATAGTTAAATAACAGTTTCAGGCATAAAGATGCATGATTGTGTTTCACAGCTGGCAACAGTGCAAACACTGTCGTTGGCATCTGATGTCCAACAAGGTAACTTCAATGAAATATGGCATTAACAAACACAAGATTATGTTAGTACTGGACACTGGAAATTTAGAAATTTAGAAAGACATTGGAGAGCATGAAATATTACAAGTATATGAACAGTTGAACACACCATAGAAGTGACAGTGTGTCAGTACTGGACATGTCCAGCAGATTCCTGAAAGGAGCACATATAAATCGCCAATAACCAAATTAATCTCCCTTCCCCAGAGAGAATTGCCGCTAATATATTCTGCAAGCACGTTTAGGATTAAATCCTTTAATCCTAGATGGAGAAGGAAAATGAATATCCCATAGCTTTTCAAAATTTGAAACAGACTAATCTTCACAAACTTCGTGGTGTCACAATAACATATTCTCCTGTCATTTATTTGGAAGTAAGTTTTCAACTCTCAGGAGGACCCATATATCAACTAACTGCAGAATAACTGGACCATGACAAGAAAATGCAAAATTAGACAACTTTGATGGTTTACCTTTGCTCTTAATGTCTCGATATCAGCCTTAAGAATTCTATTGTCAACAGCAGCTTCATCATACTTGTGATTCATGTCAGTTAGTCGCTTAAGTAATGTGGAATGTTCAACTCTTAGTTGACCAACCTAGAAAAGGCCACTTACAGGATCAAAAAAGGCAATAAAACAGAATGCATGAGAACATCAAGGGGAAGAGGGGAATGATGCGGCAAAACCTGTGCTTCAAGATCATTCATATGTGCTTGCTTTCTTCTTCTAGAGCGTCTTGCAGATTCTCGATTTGACCGCATTCTGAGCCATCACCAATGTACCAATTAGTAAAGGAATTTTGTGATTGCATCAGCAGATTAAAACTTGACCTATGTAAGAATTTATTAATTCACACGTGGTAGTGCGACAGGTGGTTATTGCTTAGGACAAACAAATAAATTGATATTCTTTTAAAAAAAAACACACACACACACACACACGCACACATAAGGAAACGAAATCCATATTCCTTGAAGAACATGGATCCCTGACACAAGAACTGGGATTAATTTTTGACAAAGGTAATAGTATTTTGTTTGATTAAGTGTATACAGTCATTAGCTCAAGTTCTCTTCACAAAACAAATATTTGGTTCTTTTCAAGGCAACAAATTAGTAGTTCTTATAGCTATTACTTACAAAGAGAAGACTCTTTTTATATTAGGACATAGTTGCTACATTAGGACAAATTAGTAGTTCTCATAGCTATTACTTATAAAGAGAAGACTCTTTTTATTTAGGACAAAGAAAACAAGAGAAATAAAAAAGGAAAGCAAACATGTTAAGCGAAAGAGAATAAAGAAAAGAACAAATAGCATTTCAAACCCCTAAAACCAATCAAGAGTACCAGACAAAACTAGAAATCACTGATTACCTCCTTGCACGTTTTGCATCAGCCGGATCCATGTTCTCGGTGGTTTCAGTATCTCCTTCAAGTTCATCATCATCTGAATCTTCTCTTGATGACCCACTTGTGGTTTGCCTCACTTGTACCCCTGGTTTTCTCTGTGTAGCTAACACAGCCTGTATTCCAGAAGGTGCAACATCAGGTTCACCCTGTCCCTGAGCCTTTGAGGAACCTACAATGGTAGAATTTTTATTAAAAAGAAAAATCAGCAAGATATTATATGTAAAATACTTATACGAAGAGGAAACCAAATAATGCATTAAGAGTTCTAAAGTTCTTTAGCAATTGTATTAATTGTTTAGACCTTAGAATTCGAGGAAGAGGAAGTCAGAAGGGTAATGGAGAAGTGAAGAAATTACTTGTCTTGTTTGATGCCTACATAAAGTTTATGGAAAAGTAACAAAATTTATCAAAGCTAGTAAACCAAGTTAATTCTGTTTTTTGTACATCATTCCATCTTTTTTCTCATTTTCCTTTTCTTCACTCTTTTAGCACAAGCATAAATAGAAGACGGAATGACATTGCACTCTGTGAAAACATGGACTGTTACCATCATTAGGCATAATCATGCACGATATACACAGGATGACTCCAGCAATACTAAATTACAAACAATGTTCTCTTACAGTTCATCAAGCAGCCAAACAATCATTGTTGGAGTTAACTTAGAAGGACCCAAACTACAGAAATATTCATGCCATTCATTGTGACACAATCAGACTTCATGAACTACACTTGGTTCAACACATATAGACTTTTTTCAGTAAATAAAGGGAACCAACTGACATATAGAAAGTTATACTCAAGCTAGGGTCAAAGTTTTATGGTTGCAGCCACCTATTACAATGACACAAGCTTATAAACAACACCTTGCTAAATGCTAATCAACCAATATAGAACCATAGTGGCCATCCCCATCTGCAGTCTAACCCTAAAAAAATTAGTCAGCCGCCTTCATCAGTTCCAAAATACAATTTTGTCAGCACCACTAACAAGAAAACGGACACATTTTTGCACAAACCATAACAATCTTACATCAGAAACACCAATTACTACCAAGAATTAACTTGCTGCCAATCTAACTCCTAATCAGGAGTAAAAGGACCCCTCTGAGCTGACTCAAAATCAGCTCCATACAATTTGGCAAAGTGAAAGAAACAGAGTATCAGAAATGAAAATTAAAACAGATGAAAAATCCCTAAAATTCATTTGCAGAGTTGCAGAAATCGTATGCATATCTTACTTATAAAGAAAAAGCTTCCTAAGGAATAGCATTTAAATGTGGTCAAACAGAGTCAACAAATAAGAATAAAAAAAGTAGAGGTTCCTTCCTCCTCCGTTAAAAAAGTTACATCCATAGCATTAGAGGTAAAAAAATCTAAAGACTCGGATTCATGAAAAAATCAAATAGAAGGCATGCTAAGCAAAAGCTTACCTTGAACTTGGGATCCCGATTGAAGCGCTTGATCCTCAGCTTGGGCAGACGAATCTTCTGCCTTCACAGCCGACGCCTGAATTATTGTTTGCAGATAAAATTCAGCATTTTTTTTTTAAAAAAATTTACTGATATTATAGTAATGATAAGATATCCAATTCAGAGAGAGAGAGGAATACACGAGAGAAAGCAACAGCAGCGCAGGCTTGATGGAGCTTGTTCTTGAGGATCGCGTGGTACTCATCCGAATCAATCGGGACCGGTGTTGGATCAGACGGCGGAGGATGATGATTCTGATTGTTAGGCCCTTTGATCTCCACCACGTCACCATCACCATCACCTTCTTCAGCTTTCGAAACGGATGGCTGAGGTGCCGCCAAGGACGGACCAATCACATTCTCTCCCGCACGCGACCCTGGATTCGCCACGCCTGCGCCAGAAAATTCTTCAAGAAACTTCTCCAAAGCCCACTCAGATTGGCTTCGGCTCATCCCAGCCGCAGCCTCCGACGGCGGAGTCGCCCAGAAGGGGTCGGAGAAATCGTCAACTGGGAACACAGTATTCATCGTTTTCAGTGTAATCTATTTCTTCGTCTGTCTCCGCAATTTGCAATTGGCTTTTTTCTCCGTCTCTTCCTGTTTTATGCGGGAACAAACAGAAAATATCTACTGCTTTGTTGTCTAGGAAACAATCCAATAACAAGGCGCCGCGTGGATAACTTCAGGGTCCTCTATTCACGTGTTAGTATATTAGTGGGTGGTGAGGGCGACAACTGCTGGATTTTGCAGCACGTGATTTGTGAAGGTAGGTGTGGCCCGATCCGTGGGCTAAGACGAAAAAAAGTGAGGGAGGGGGCGGGGCCAATAAACAATATGTACGTATTCGGGACAAGTGAGAAAGGGGTTATGACTCAGACTGTGACGCAAAAGTGTGATCAATTGGATTCTCGAGCTGTCACTGGAAACACAACAGACTGGGTCCCATGCTAAGGATTTTGCTGTACGGCTTGACACGTCGCCTCTCATTTCCCAACATATGAAAACAAGTATACTTTTTATATTTTATATTATGTACCTAATTTACTGATTTTTTTACCCTCTTGTAAATTAACATTAATATGTTGTTCGTGTGATGTATTCCAGATAGTAATAATTTTTTAAGTAAAATAGTTTTATTTTTTAAAATTTTGATCAAAATTATGTAAAAATTAATAAATTATTAAAATATATATTTTATTTTAAAAAAATATTTTTTATTTGATACGTAAATCTAATTATTAATCAATTATTAATATTTTTATCAATTTGATGATATAGTAAGAATAAAAAATAATTTTATTTTTATTAATTTTTAAAATTATTATTATATAATTTTATTAATTTTTTATTAAGTTAAAAAAAAAAAAGAGCTCCCCTTTGTGCTCCCTTTTCTTGGGGAGCCGGGTTGCTTTTTTTTTTTTTAAGTATATAATAATAATTTTTTAAATTAATAAAAAAATTATTTTAATTTTTTTATAATCTTTATTAATAGTGTTTGCACTTTTACAGTAGAGTATTTATCTTGAAAACTAATAAATTCATTTGAAATTTTGATTTAAAGTTAAAAAGTGAGGTATTTAATTTTTTTTTTTTATAAAATTGAGTTAGGAATAATTTATAAAATAGATATACAATAATAATTATATCATCATGTTTTACCATTAATGTTTGTATTGTCATGTAAGTTATTGCCAGAACTTGTTGAAAGATAATCCACAACATTGAATTTTCTTTTTTTATGAATAATAAAGTGTACCAAAAGGTTCAACTATAATTGTTTGCAATTCACCTTCAACAATAATAATGAAAAAAACTGTTAAATGCCCCTAATAAGTATCTCGATATAATTTTACAAAAACACTTATAGTTGAAAGTTTGTGTTTGATTTGTGACCAATTGTTTTGTAGGGTACTGCTCCATTGTTCCTCACCCATATTGTCATTTGTATGTTTTGGTTGTCTTTTTATATGGATTGATGCAATTGGGGAGTATTTAGTAGACTCATTATGTTTAGGAAGACTCTTAACTCTCAATATTAACATTCTCTTTAATATGTTTGGTCTTGCATCATTATTTTCATCTATTTTTATTAAAAAAATGTAAAAGACAGAACAAATTTTTAACGCAATAAAAAATTATTTATCATAAATAAAGTACATATGAAGCAATAAGTATTGATAACAAAACAGGAGCAATAGTAAACACAATATCAAACAAAGAGGACTATTAATAAAAAAGAATAAAATGTAAACCAAAAATATGTAAGTATAAAGTGCAAGCATAGTAATGTACCAAAATCCAAAATTACATAAATTAATAATTGAAAAAAAAAACATCATACTTGTTGAACACAAAAAAAATATACAAATAACATCATTCACCAATAAAAAATTAACGTACTTGATAATATGCAGCAAGTATTTTTCTTCAAGGTATATTCACACCAAAAAAAATTAATTGTAAGAAAAATATAAAGAGAAATATAACCATGTCAAATAGAATAATACTTATTCTTAAATTCAAATAATAAAAAATATTAATAAAATTGAGAAATACAATAAGCAGCAAATGTTGTACAAACTATATCTTAAGTGTTAACTTAATTGTAAAAACAATTGAATTACACTCTAAATTAAAGTAAAAACATTTTCATGAATCCTAGCAGCTCTAAGCAATGCACCAATTTAAACACAAAAACAAAAAAATATTTAGCAACCTATAATATAATATATGAAAGTTTATGTTTATTTAATTGATATGGACCATTTATTACAATTAATATGACAAAATTAATTAATTTCTTAGCGTAAAAAATAAAAAACATATGAAGGCTCAAAAAATTAAAATTCTTCAATTATTAAAAATTAACGACTTTAGCTAGATTCGTTGATTACATTAAAATTAATCATTAAATTTTAAAATGTTAAATTAATAAAACATAAACTTAGTAATGACATTTACTTGGATAATGTAAATAAGTAGTTTATTTGACAAAAAAATTTAAACAAAAAAACAAAATTGAAATAGGGTGAGTTCATAATGTCTGACTTTAAATGTTTTTATTTTTTGTTTTGTCTAAGCATCTCAGTATTGTAATTAATAGAAAGAATGATAATGATGTTATAAACAAAACATGGGAATTGTTTTTGACACACGACCCATTTGTATTTCTAAAAGATAATAAATAGATAAAATTTTACATAAAAACAATAGATACTTTATATATTCAACAATAGTAACAGGTCAGGCAAACACCAATCCACAATTTCACCTTTTTTATATTGACCCAAAGAGCAGTCCACCAAATTAAAAGGCAAATCAACCCAGCAAACAATGGCTCACAAATGTCACATATCAAACGGAGGGGGAAAAGCCGACATGACTCAAGGCTTTTTCAAGCTTCCCTTAAATATATTTATAGATTATACAATTCATTATACACAACAATTTTTGGTGAACCAAATTGCTATGTTAGATTTGATGATTTTGGATGGTAAATACTTCCAGATTTAAGATTTGGGGATAATAAGGATTCATTGAATTGGATTAAAGGTGTAATGATTTTTGTTTTTAATAGATAGCCGATTTAGGAAAAGATTTTATTTTATTTTCTTTTACAAGATGGAGTATGATAGGAAATTGGATACAATTGGATAATTCTACACTAGTTTTTTTTTTTTGTTTGAGTTGGTATGAAATTAAAAGTAAACTATCATAATGTCTATTATTTCATATAGACAAAAATGTTTTAAAAAAGTTTTTAAACTAATTTAAGAACATTTAAATCAGTTTTTATTATTTCATTATGTTTAATAAAATTTTTGTATTTTTATTTTGAGTCAAATAAGTTTTTATGATTAATAATTGATTGTTATTATCAAAATGTCACTTATCATTTTATACTCATGTGACGCTAATAAAATGGTGAAAATACTATGTAACTATATCATTATTCCATATACGTATGTCATATTATCATCCGTTATAACATGTTAACATACCACCTCAATAACATATGACATAAAAATAACAAGTAATGTTTTAACTAATGATACTTAATGAATCATTAGTTATAAGGGTTTATTTGACTCAAAATAAAAATAAAAATATTTAATTGAACAAAATTTAAAAAAATACTTATTTGAATTTTTTTATTAATTTAAAAAAAATTCAGATATTATGTCTTTCACATATTTCATCTGATATTTATCTAAACATGTAAGTGTGAATACCACTGCAAAATACACTAATATTAGACAATTATATTTCAATAATGTTTTATATACTAAATGTTTAATTGCTTTAAATGTGTAAATTTACTATTGATTAGTAAACTTAAAATTGATAAATTAGTTTGATAATCAAACTTTAGATTATTCATTTTTTTCATATATGTACTTTTTTTTCTTTTCCAACTCTAATAACTTACGCATTAAAGCAATGGCGGGTTGATGGCCATCACTTCTCAGTTTTTAATTTTTTTTTTTGTGTTTTTATGTGTATAAAATAGCAAATGTATAGCTTTGTCATTCCTAAACAAATAAAATATATTGATTTGGAATAAATGGTAATTTTTTTAGCTATATTTTAAAGGACTTGGGTTTAATCCCTTCTAATCCAAATTTTAAAATTATTTTTCTTTTCCTTTTTTTCTTTTTTCCTTGTCTTTTTTTTTCTTGGGGTTTAAAACTTGATTTCTCATTTTTTCTAGAATTACTTAAGAAAAAGATTGCCAATACCACTGACACAGATTTTGTATTTTTTATTTTTTTTTTCATAAGGTTTAAAACTTATATTTAAATTGTTAATGAAATTTTATATTATAATTTAATTTTTTTAAAATGATTAATTTTTTTTCTCTAAATCAAATTATTAACTTGAGATATGAGCTTGATTACTTTTTAGTCACTCCTCATATAAATTTTTGAATCTACCACTACATAGAGTTTGTTTGGCTTAGTTTTTTTCTAGTTTAAAAGTTATTATGAAACTTTTATGAAAAATAATAATTTTTAGAATTAAGCTGAAATTGTTTGGTAAATTTTTTTTTATAAGTATCTTTTTGTAAGTTACAATTTTAGTTAAAATTATCATAAAAGATATTTTTTTTTGAAAGAGTAATATTGTAATTATTTTTAATCGACAATGATATTTTTGAAATAAAAATAATTTTTTTTGTATTTAAAAAAAATAAAAGAAAAAGCTCCTTATAGTATATTTTCCTGAAGCTCTTTTTTTTAAAATTTTATTTTTTTAAAAAAAAATATTTTTTTAAGAGTTTTTTAAAATTTATGTTTGACTTGATTTTTATTTTTAAAAGATAGATAAGTTGAAAAAAAATCAAACCAAACAAGCACTAAAGCTAAAACTTACCAAACAATCATTACAACTCTCTCTCATATATATATATATATATATATATATATGTGAAGGGGAAGGAGTGTTGAACATTGTCAAATAAATTTTCAAGTAAGCAGTACATTATTTTTTTTAATAATAATATAGAGAAGAATTTAAATTTTCACACGAACGTTATTACCTTAATATACTCACTAAATTTTCTTAAAAATATATTAATGAAAACCAATTAGTATATAATGAAGAACGATATATTTGTTGATTCGGTATCCATATATATTGTTTAGTGATGCAAAACATATTCTAATTTGTAAAAAAGAAAAGAAAATATAAAAAATAAATGTGTATTAAGATTCCAACTCTTATTTCTAAACTCTAAAGTAATATTTATTCTTGTATTTTAGACATGAGCATTTAATAAATGTTTTTAACTAAATTAATTGATAGATGCACTCAAACATTTAGCTAATTAGTTGATGTATAATCTACTCACTTAAAAAACAATATTCGAATATTTTTTCTTCCAATTATAAAAATTGATTGACAGGTTTCGAATTATCTTTCATCAATTAAAAAAAAATTGATAGTTTAAACTTTAATTTCTATCTACTTGATTGTAAATTTTCCGAGAACCAACTCTGTGATCTTAGTTGAACTAAATCAAACACTTTCTTAATTATCAAAAACAAGTATCATTTCATTATTTAGCACCTATTGATTTGATTTACAAGACTTGATCAATTTTGCTGTGTTATTAACTTATGAGTAAAAGTAATCCTTGGCGAGGCCATTAACTGACTAGGAATAGATATCCTACTGACCATTAATTGGTGAGGTCAAACATATATTTTAAGGTAAAATATTTTATTATCTTTAATTTTTAATTATAAGTATATACGAATCTATTAATTTATAAAATAAATATTTCATTGTAAATAGTTAAATAATATTAATATTTAAATTATAATATCAAAAATGTTTTTATTTTTTATCTTTGTAAACCAACTGATGATGTTTTCTATTCAATCAACTACACTGTGGTTGAATCTAGCTTAGATCTAACTGAATTTCTTAAAGAGTACTAGATTCACTAAGATCGGTGCTCCACAACTCCTTACGGAGCACCATTTGTGCTCTTTAGGGAGAACATGAACGACGCTCCTAACACACGAACGATGCTCCCAGACAGCACTTGGGGAAGCTTTTTTTAATAAGAAAAAAATAAAAAAATTATAATTTATATAATATGAAAATTTTTAAAATTAATAAAAAATAAAATTATTTTTTTAATATTACTATATTATCAAACAAATAAAAATATTAATATAGAGTAATTGCTGGATTTATGTGTGTAGTAAAAATTATTTTTTTAAAATAAAATATTTATTTTAAAAACTATTAACTTTATATAAAATTATGATTAAAAGTAAAAAATGAGGACAAAGCGGTAATTGGAACTCAAAGACTGGGAGGATTTCGAGTTGAGAAGAAGCGTCGCCGTTTTGATGGTGATGTGAATGTATTTCTACTAAAATCCAGAGCGTTTCGATTCAACGTGTCAGTATCATCTGCTTGTTTCTGGTCTACTATCAGCCTCTGCAAATTCCCGTAGATCCTTCAAATCGAACGCCGAAAGTGGGAACAGGCAATCCATCAGAGAAAGGTAGATTTATTTGTCTTACATTGATTCAAAATCTAAAACAGGAGCGTAAATTGTAAGCCATCATTACGGGCCCTTAAGCGATTTTTTCGGTTATTGTGATTTTGTAGTTCAAAAAACGTTACCGATGGCGAACAGAGCTCAAATTCGCACCAGCAACTCAGCTCTTATTGCAATGATTGCCGACGAGGTGAGTATAACTATGGAGCCGCTTAAATCAGTACACAGATCTCCGCTCTTTTAGGCCTTTTTACTTAATTTTAGTGCATTTTTCCCTATAGATTTCCCGGTCGTTCTTCTTGAATTAGCTCTACATCGCCTGAATTTTATGTCAATCAGACGTAAGAAGTTTATATAATCTAGTTGTAATTTTCCTTTTTGAAAAGAATGAATTAGCTAAATATAACTAACTAAAGCGTCTACAGAGTGAACTGGTAGAAAGTACTGTTATAAGTTTGATGCGTGTTGCTTGGACCTACTAATGCCGTGTTAGCCGATGGAAAACTCAGTTTTATGTGCTTTTGATGAGCCTGAAAGGTGGATATCATTCAGATTAGCTGTATGATGAATGATCATTAAATGGTACACTTGCATCGAGTTGTGTTTTTCTGAATGATTGTGGTATGTGTTACAGGAAAAGTTTATTCATCGCCAGACAGCTTTCTGAGTTCCCCCAAAACCTATTTATTTAGTCATTACCGTGTTTTCTCATTTTGTTAATAGACCATTGCAAGAATAAGAGGGTGTTTAAGGCATGATTTGATGAGTAGAAAATGCTGCAAATGTTGTTAATATGGCAATTAATGTCGTTGCTTGCAATTTGCAATGCATTTGATTTGACCTCTCTGATTTATAATTTGTTGGGCTAGGACACGGTGGTTGGATTTCTGCTTGCTGGAGTGGGTAATGTGGACTTGCGGAGAAAGACAAATTATCTTATTGTGGACTCAAGTATGCTCTTGAACTTTCTGTGTTTTATTACTGCTATTTGAAAAGCTTGCTTTTGAAGTGTGGTCTATATCAAACTCTTGTCAACATTTTACAGTCGCTTTTCGATCCAGTATTCGCTCATTGAATGCTGAGTTTCACCAGTTATTTATCATTAAATCACCTTAGGTTATCTGAATTAGCAACTTATGTTCAGCTTGACAGTGGTTTATGTGCTGCCAAATGAAAGAGTGAAAGAACACAATCAAGTTACTCAATATGGGAAACAAGCTGTTCAGGAATGTTTAAACTAAAAGTATGCCTTTTGCTACTTATTTTGGATCAATGTAACTAAATGTTTTGTTACATATTTGTTATTACTTATGATAATAGTTAAATAATGTTCTTACAACTTCTGATTTCAAGTCATTTTGCCTTCTGGACTTTTAGGGCTTTGGTTTTAAATTTTCTTATTGGAGTGAGAAACACATGTCTTCGCTCCTTTTCCTGTTGAAATAATTGTTATTTGGCCTGATAAAATTGATAATTCCTAGGGAAGTACAAAGATGGACTGTATCTCGAAGGGAAGATTTCCCTGTTTTACATATTATATCATTTTTATCGTTTCTGTGTCAACTAGGAAAAATGAAGTAACCATTTGTCAAGAGAAAGGGGAGGGAAAGTAGAAAAGAAAAGATACAGCATAATCCTTTTAACTATTTGAGATCGGAATAAATATCACATTTTAAATTTACTCCAGTTTAGCTCTCTTTTTTTATTTTTCTTTTCCAAATAAATCACATCAGATAGTTATTTTCACTATCAAAGTGAATATCATTAGCATCTTAATCCTTCATTCATAGAATGCTTTTTGTTTTTGCCTTTTAGAAACCACTGTTAAACAAATTGAAGATGCATTTAAAGAGTTCATAGCAAGGGAGGATATTGCTGTTGTGCTGATTAGCCAATATGTAAGTTGTTTGCTGCATACTCTGTCATACAATATCAGCTTTTTTGCAAATAGCTATCTGTTTGTTAAGCTAAGCTGTGTTATGCACAGAAAAGTTAAAAATGTGTGGCTGAGGAGAGCTATGAAATTCTAACAAGTACAGATCATGTAACATCTCTTACTTCCATCATCATCAAGTCACACTCATACTGCTCTTTAGAAGTAACTGTTGGCCACTTATCTTTGAAGTGTGAATATAAATTGCCTTCAGCTCTTAGACCCGCATACTAGATTCTTTAATAAAGTGCTTTATTTGAGTGATTATATGTTCTAACCTTTCATGGCTTTGCTTTAAATGACGTGATCAATAACCACCAAATACCAGTAATACTGATGATGAGATTTGATCAAATACAAAATCTGCCATTTGATAAAATCCCTGTGTGAAATTTGGTGAGCACCTAAACTTCTTGGTGACAACAATGAGTCTACTCCATACTTTCCCTATTATGTCATTTTATGTGGAAATGTTGTTTATTGATCATTTGCTGCTCAATCAGAAACCAATCAAATTGATACAGTTTAGGAATGAACAGAAAATTACTACTATAGTTTTCTGCAAACCTACTATTTATTTCAGTGCATTGAGAGTATCGTGAACACCAGTGTCGAAAATGGCAATATGGGTTGTCTCATCTTGCATGATGGTTCCGTAATTTTGATGAATTTCCCTTTTGCTTTGATGGTGCTGTCCTATTTTGGCGTTGGCTATTAGGTACTTAGAGGAACGAAAGATCTTGTTTTCTGAATCTATATCTTTCGTAGTTTTATCTATAATGATACCAATCCAGACACAAGTATAGAATTTCTGTTTGAACTGCATTCTCAACTCAAGTTTAGTATGCTAAATTAAGCTGTGGCCCTCCTTCCTTTTAATTTAGGTTGCAAATATGATAAGGTTTCTGGTGGATAGCTACAACAAGCCTGTTCCTGCAATTTTGGAGATTCCATCCAAGGATCATCCCTACGATCCTGCACATGATTCTGTTCTTTCACGAGTTAAATACCTCTTCTCCACAGAATCAGTGGCATCTGGGAGGCGTTAAATGCAGATATACACTTGAGCCGTCACTATGTTATCATTTGTTTTATTTCCTCCATTAATTGTATATCATGACTTCCATTATTCTTTTCAGAGAGTTGCTAATGGTTCTCTTGCTAGTTTCTATAAGTTAGAATGTGCAGCTTTTATTTGGAGATATGCTTTGATGGCGTTTTGAATTGAATAAACGATGTTTGAAGAAACTTTTGGAGTTGGGAGGCGTCCATCATGCAACAGTTGTTGGAAGCCTACTTGTTAACGTAATGATATAGTTTGGTAGAAATGTCTTTCCCTTTGTTTTTGTTTTTGTAAATAGGGCACGGGAAATTGGAGAGCGGCCGGATGGGGGTTGGAGGTTGGAAGATTGGTCGAAAGAAAAATTTTATTCATGTGGAATGGAGAAGCCAAGCTAAGTGGATGTAGTTGCCCATTAAATAGTTGTAACTCGTTGTTTTAGTCGTTTAAGCACAGGATCTTGTAGTGCTGTTACAGGCCTGTAGCAGGCTATCGTACCTGCTTTGGATGAATGAAAATTTTCAATTATTTAAAAGGAAAAAAAATTATATGTTGGGAGGGCGAGACTATTTGATAAGCCTAGCCAACCTGAAAATTTGTTGTTTGATTTTCAAAGCATGAAATTAGGAGTCATCTTCTTCTAGGGGAAGATGAAGACGAAGGAAGGAAGGAATAGAGTGGGGGGGTTTTGCAAAACTTTCCTGATTTAGTGCATGAATTAGCAGAACAATGGCAACTCCTTTCCGTCAAAGCCCACAAGCCCATTGTGGACTCAATTGGGAATAGGGATCCCTTGGCTCCGGACGCTGCCTGCATGTGATGGTTAACCCAACCTTGGCCCCACCACTGGATTTTGATTTTTTAAGCTCGTTTAACATGGCCGCAAAACGCAAAGGCGTTGACCAAGGCTGCTAAGCAGGCTCAGGGCACAAGCAGCACTACCTCTACAGCTACTGCTGCTTGGTAAATATATACCATCTACCCACAACCCTCAAGTCTTCCACAAGGTTTCGTGGCACCTGACGAAAATAAAAATTAATAAAAAAAAATTATAATCAGCGAGAAGTCCAGAAGCCTCCCCTATCCCCAAGGCCCAAAGGCAAATGAAAAACCCAATCCCCAATCCCGAATCCGCTGTCCTCAGTCCCTAATCCCTTCTTTCCATTTCCTCTATTCCAAGTCCAAATTTAGGGTTTCGAGTACCCCAACCCTACAATAGCCCTTCCAAATCCGACCTCTTTTTCGTTGCTTTCTCCTTCATTTAGATTAGGGATTTTAATTAAAAATACTCCTATTTATTTTACAAATCCACTGCACTTGTAGTTGTTCCTAATTCACCGGAACTGTAAGCAAGTAAAGAGGTAAACAGCGACAATGGCGGAGCACTTGGCCTCAATCTTCGGAACCGAGAAGGACCGCGTGAATTGTCCCTTCTATTTCAAGATTGGAGCGTGCCGGCACGGGGACAGGTGCTCACGGCTCCACAACCGGCCGACGATCTCTCCAACTCTCCTGCTGTCGAACATGTACCAGCGCCCGGACATGATCACCCCCGGAGTGGACCCCCAGGGCCAGCCTATCGACCCCCGCAAGATCCAGGAGCACTTTGAGGACTTCTACGAGGACATCTTCGAGGAGCTCAGCAAGTTCGGTGAGATCGAGAGCCTCAACGTCTGTGACAACCTCGCTGACCACATGATTGGAAACGTGTATGTACAGTTCAGGGAGGAGGACCAGGCTGCAGCCGCCCTCCAGGCACTTCAAGGAAGGTTCTACTCCGGTCGGCCTATCATTGCGGATTTCTCCCCAGTCACTGATTTTCGCGAGGCCACTTGTCGGCAATTCGAGGAGAATAACTGTAACCGCGGGGGTTACTGTAATTTTATGCATGTCAAGGTAATTGGGAGGGAGCTAAGAAGGAAGCTGTTTGGAAGGTACCGCAGGTTCAGAGGGAGTCGGAGCAGGAGCAGGAGCGCCAGTCCACGGCACAGGCGTGATAAGGAGTTTAGGGACCGGGACCGTGACCGTGACCGTGTTGATTATCGCGATAGAAATGGGCGAAGACCTGATAGGCACGACAGGGACAGCGCTAGTAGGAGAAAGCATGGGAGTCCTAGGCGAAGCAGAAGTCCTGCACCTCCTGCTAGAGAAGGGAGCGAGGAGCGGAGAGCCAGGATTGAACAGTGGAATCGAGAGAGGGAAGAGAAGGTGTAAGAAGAGCTTTTTATCTACATTTTCATTTTGCTTTTTGGCAATCATTACTGTTTGCTCGATTCAGATCATGTTTTAATTATGCTTCTGCAACTTGGATTGAACTTTAGTCTTGATTTGAGCGACTAGAATGGTCTTTTTCTGGTAGTGTTAGTTTTAAAAGGTAGTACTAGTGTCTCTTTTGAATACATAGTTTTCTTTTCTTTTAGTTGTTGGTTACAGTTTCATAGCTTTGGATTAGTGAGGTTCTCATTCCTCCTCCTTTATTATTTTCTAATAATTTCCTTATATTAATCCTCTTTTTTAGTTGGATTCTTAAGCTTTCTTTTATGTTCTACTTGTAAATCTGCCTGAGGCTGATCGGTGCTTTTGGCGGGGAAGAGCCAAGCTCTGCTTGCTTAGTGAGGTTTTCATTCCTCCTCTTCTATTATTTTCTAATAACTTCGTTATATTAATCCTCTTTTTTAGTTGGATTCTTAAGCTTTCGTTTATGTTCTACCTGTAAATCTGCCTGAGGCTGATGGTGCTTTTGGCGGGGAAGAGCAAAGCTCTGCTTGCCTAGTGAGGTTTTCATTCCTCCTCCTCTATTATTTTCTAATAACTTCGTTATATTAATCCTCTTTTTTAGTTGGATTCTTAAGCTTTCGTTTATGTTCTACTTGTAAATCTGCCTGAGGCTGATCAGTGCTTTTCGCTGGGAAGGGCAAAGCTCTGCTTGCTCGCTCTCGCTGCTACTGCCTTTCAAAGAGTTTTTGTCCTTTGCCAATTATAGCTTTTATTAATTAACAATTATAAATACACGCATTGCTTTACGCATTTTAACTTGCAAATCTGCCTCAGCCGTGATTGTTTTACTGTTCAAATATGTTAGGCTGCCTTTGGTGGGGAAGGGCTGCCAGTGTGTTTGCTCCCGCTCACTGCTACTGCTATTCATTTGTTTCATTTTATGAATGTGTGTTGCTGTGAATTTAGTTATTGCGACTGGAGTATCCAGGGAAGAGACCTTCTTAGGCAAAATTCTAAACCATTGTTATTTGTCGAAATTTTCCTAGAAGATAATGAATTATACCACCGGTTGCCTGCACCACTCCTGTATAAATTATTTTATGGGAAACTCTCCTTTGTTTTGACCATTTACAAGGAGACTCTCTGTGGAAATTGCAGTTTTTTTTCTGTTTGTTTCCTCTCATGTAGTCTCTCCCTCGATCGTCCTTCACCTTCGCAAGATTCAATGGGATGGCTTTTCAATTTATTGCTTGAGACTATGATTCATATCCTTATTTGAAGCAAACACTGATTGAATTATTATGCTTGTTTTTGAGTACATGTCTGTCGTGCAAAAAATTCTTACCCAAGCATTATGCTGCAGATCGTTGCTACTGTGTAAAAACTCTTCTTCATAATTTGTCCATGACCAGTAAATAATTTAGAATGTAGCTTTTGACAGTTAAAAGATAAGTGTTGCATCTAACTCTCGATGGTTTATGATAGAAGTTGTTTACTATTTTTTTTGCATTGATTTTTGCCCGAAAAGCTAGGCTATTGTTTTTTGTATCCATTTGCCTTCAAGGTAGAGAAATGTAGTTTAACAGAGGAGGAATGGTTGAACTTTATCTATTCTTTCCTTTTCCCTTTTGTTATGCTCATTTTGGGATCATAGGATACAAGTATATAACCCAATGTTAATAAGAAACCCAGTATGAAGTGTTGTTCATAGGCCGGTGGTAGTATTTTTTTCAAATTGAAAAAAAAATTAATTTTATTTTTTAAATAAAAAATTATATATTAATTAATGAATCAAATATTTAAATACATCAATCAGCAGGTGATAACTTGTTCAGAAGTGAAGTAGCTTCCTTTAGGATTGACGAAACTACGATAATCCAAATGTTAAATTTAATTCATCAATTATAATTTATATAAAATGAATATCTATACTTTCAAAACAAAGGTTCAACATATTTTCCAACGAAAACCATAATTAAGAATAAAATGTGACATGTCTGACTTAATTCCATTCAAATAGTCAAGCAAGTGCTGATTTCAAAGATTTGGTAAAAGTTTCTAGCGCCTTCAATCCTTCCTCGGGAGACTCTGCTTCACCCAGCAGCTTCACCATGGCACTGCCAACAATCACACCATCCGCTCCCCATCCTGCTACCTGTTACGATATATTAATGCAAGAAATAAATATCCAGATGGAGGCAGAAGCATTGGTTATATATACGCATCAAGTTGGATCGTCTAAAGGCCAACCTGCTTCACATGCTCAGGTTTTGATATGCCAAACCCTACCGCAACAGGCTTGGTTGTTGCCTGTCATAGCAAAGTTAAAAGCATCAGGTGCAAGTACTCGCATCATCGATCTGTAATTACCTTGACTTACAATTCTTTTACAATTATGTCCAAGCACTTTAGTAAATGAAACACAATGATCACCAAATACCTCATGTCTTCAGAATTTATGTAAGATGAACTGGCTTGTAATTGCAATCTTGAGAAATTCAATGGAAGTAAATCATCATGCAAAAATATGAAAGAACCAGATCTCCTTAAAAGTTTCTTAAAAGAAACAGCTCAATTCAATTATATATCAAAGATTAGTCCAGAATGATTAAAAACATATACACCACTTGGACTGGCAAGCTAATTAGTGATATAGGAAATCTGGTTGTCAGGACAAACCTCTTTAATTTCTCCAATAAGAGTCTGAACCCGATCACTTACAGACGCACGGGCACCAGTAACTCCGGTTGAGCTCACCTGAAATTTCCAGCAGATAAGAAGAAATCAGAATTGTTGTTTATACCTTATCAGAATTCAATCTCAGTTTGTCATAAAATTTAACATAAAACACCTGATAAAACATTAGAGTTAAACACAGTAACAAAAGAAAATAACATGATAAAAGAGTCATCAACTTTGAAGAGGATCATACAAGATACACGAATCCTTCTGATGCTTCGACAATAGCTTTCATTCGGTCTATCGGAGTAGTCGGTGTTGTAAGCAGTACCTTTACCACAAAAGCAGAGAAGCCTTATTATCCTGACTATATGCATTTATGCAGAAAAGAAAAGCATTGCTTGTGACATCTAAATGTTAGAAAACAACACATTAAGGTTGGAAAAATAAATGAGTTGAAATCTGATAGCTAATTGATTCCTAATGTTGCCTTCTGATATCCAATACTGCAATATTCACAATGATTGGTAGTAAAGCCGGCTTTAAAGTTACGTATATGAACCATAGAAAGCAAAAACAATTTCATCTTTCCCCTGACTTAGTTAATTTTCACCAGGTTTCTTACATTTCCAGACTAGAAGTGTTTATTCTGATAATGTGAGGAAAGTTTATTTTGGAGATTGATGAGGAGTTTGTAAGTTACTATGCAAATGATTTCATGAAATATCTCATATAAGTAACTAACAAATAAAAGATTTTACAGAACCCACTCTATTGCGTTAATTTAAAGTATTTGACCAAGCATACCATGGTGGTAAAACCTAATTGAGATTGCTGAGAAGTTAAAGGGGAAAAAACATTCTTATAGAGGAACGCACCAATTCGATCTTGTTTCTGAGAGCTTCTCTTCTCAAAATTTCAGACTCCTCCAAAGGAACATCTGGAATCACAAGCCCTGAAAATATTTTTGGAATTATTGAGGTAACAACATTATTTAGATGTAGGGATTCTTGAAGGAAGTAAGACTCAAAAACATTCAATCTATGGATTTCCAGAAAAAAACAAACTTTAAGTGATAGATATAAGGCCTATATATTGGATTATATAAGAGAATTGTGAAATTAAAACAAAGCCAGCACAAGCAACACCAAATTTCGATTTTCTTTATCTTATTGAGGCCTAACAATTTAAAAAAGAAACATGGATATTTGCAGGTTTATTTAGCTCACATTAGACATATCGACTATAGCTAGCAAGGAATATATATATATATATATGCAGACTGAGCAAGGGAACTAGTCAACAACCTAATTAATGTACAACATGCTGTTTCATTCATCATAGCATGTAGAAAACAAGAAAAACTTTCGACCCTCTATAGGATGCTGACTATCAATGAGGTGACCAAGAAACATAAAACTAAAGGGTCAAGAATAATCCCAGCAATATTACTAAATATTCTACTAATTGTAGTACAACTGACCTTCAAATATTCTATAGGCACTGCCAGGTATATAACAAGTACTTGTATAGTTGATCAGTGGCAATATGACACTTATATCCAGGAATAAGGAGTTAAAAGGCCTCCAAGTGGAGTTTGAAATATAAATAGCATTAGAAAGACAGAAACAGAAGAGAAAGAGAGTCAGGGAGAGTCTTCACACCCAAAGACACATAGAATAAAGCATAATTAAGAAAAACCTATACTTCACATATGTAGATTGACTCAAGCCATGGACCAGAGTAGAATGGTACAAAAATTCAAGATAAAGTAAAGCATGACAAGTCGATTACCATGTATGCCTACATCCTTTACAGTGGACATAAACTTCTCCACCCCGCGCTTGAGAATTGGGTTGTAATATGTAAATAAAGCAATTGGACAAGATAACTCTGGAACCACCTGTACATATTACAAGTACATAATTAGAATATGACCCCTGATTTAGGAAGAAAACAGTGAATGAAGTCACAAATAGTTATACTGCAAAATTTTTGTTTCTGTAGTTACTTACACCTAGATGCATGTATGTAACAAATTCCCTCGTTCAAAAGAAAGTAAGAAAAATCAAGGATCTTAATGATGATGAAAGGTCTTAAATAGGTTCTCGTCATTGAAAGGGCAGCAAGCTCAAAGTTCTAAATCATTAGCATACGTGAAATGAGCAAAGTACCAATAACCAACATTACTCATGAATCAAAATGTTTTTTGGTTCCAGTCAGAGATGAATACATAAATAAACAAGCTTTTGTGCAAGAAAACAGTTACAACACTCATTTACCCTGAGAAAAACAGTGGTTGCATTGACATCAACAATTCCATGCTTTAACAACTAACAAACATTACTGTTGGTTTTGCTAAGAGGGTAGATGTGAGTGAAAAGTGCATTTAAAAGAGGTCCTTCTATTTTTTCATTTGTTGATAGACAGATGCCATGGCACTCGGCACGAGTTTTACCTCCTTCAACATTGAAAGAATAGCATTGAAGTTGGTTCCTCTTGCCAAAGAACGCGTAGCCGCAGCCTAAACATAAAGAAAACATCACTAAGAGATTTGAAAATAAACAATAAATAGAAAGACCACACTGTTTTAACAGACCTGGATTACAGGACCATCAGCTAGAGGATCAGAATATGGTACGCCTAGTTCAATTATGTCTGCGCCACATAAGTCAAGCACCTTAAGTGCCTCAACTGTTGTTGGAAGATCAGGATCACCAGCTGTGATGTATGGGATTAAAGCAACCTTCAGAAAGAGGCAAGCTTGTTAGACAGCACTAGAAAGATAACCTTAGGCCCCAAACCTCTTGGTCAAGCCTAGGTTGTTGACATTATCATAAGATTTTCAATAAATTTTACAAGAATAGTAGTTCCATTCTAGGAGAACTTCATAAGAGGCATCCGATGTGAATAAAGATCCATTCTCGACATGATAGTAGTTTATAATTGGCAATAACTAAGGTGTTTTATCCTTTCAAGTACAAAATTTACATCATCAAGCAGCCACCTCTTCTATCCTGAATCTCAAACCAGTCTAGTAAGACAAAGGACGTTTATAAATAATCCTAATTGACGAAAACTATTTGAGCTCTGCAAGCACACTACCCAAAAGTTGACAGGAGTCAAAGTGGAAAACGTAGCTCAACATGGTTAAGTCAACCAAAACTCACTGAATGATTCTATTCTCAGGCTACCTTACTAATACAAGCCATAAAAATATTACAACGCAACAAATAATCAGAACAATTGCATCAACCAGGCGTGTTATCTTAACAAGCCTACGATTCCATTAATGTAACCGCATATATCACATACAAAAAACACCCATTTGAATATAAAGTTTGAAAATTTCTCTCATAATAAATCTAAATCTATTTCTTCTACCCAATTTAGAGTATAAAAAAAAAACACAAACATAAAGGAGAAAAAGGGTCACAGAATGCTTACTTTGCCTTGTGTTTTCAATTTAGAGAAAGTGTCAGCAAGGCCAAGAGTTCGAGCAGTGGTTAAAGTAGCCATTGGATCGAATCTCTTGGTTGAAACAAAGGCCTTGCCTGAGGAAAGACGAGATGGAGAAGGGATATTGAGCTTCTTTAAGTGGAGAAAGCCGGCTGTTGATTTCGGAGCAATTGCCATTACAGTGGGTGGGGTGAGAGAGGTTTTGCCTTTCTTTCTTTTTTGTTTTTTCTCTTTGGGTACTGTGATGGGCTTCCGATAATCCCTATTTATAACCTGCCAACCACCCCTATTCCATTTTAAGCAAATCTGGGTGCCCAAATTTTTTACCATTCAATGTATCAGACTTCCCTAATTCTGAATTGGAGTTGGCGGCGAGGTTCATCGAGTTTGTGTTTTTCCATAAGGAAAGTCGTTAAGTCCTCATTTATCCTAAAAAAACATGTTGTGCCAGAACTACTACATAACCACACCAAGAGATTTTACCCTCTAAGAGTCCGAAGTTCGTTGCTAAAACCCCCAAAAAAAACAAGATGAAAGAGCACGTTGAGTCGATGTGGTGGACATATTAAGCTAAACGGAATATTTATTGGATGAGATGAAGTTAACTGCACCTTAGGGGTACTTGATGGCAAAGGCAATTGATACATTGTTTCATCCTCTAATCCCAGATATAGAAAACAGTGGATCGCAACAAAATATCACAAATTCGCCCTTGTCTACTCATTTCTCCATAAATATATATATAATGATTTAAAATGTGAATAAAAATATATAAAATTAAGGGTACTATGTGTAAATACTATAAATTTTATAAATCAAAATTTTATAAATACTTAAAAGACCCCCTAATCTAGGTATAATATTTTAATTATTTTTCTTTTTTTTTTTTCTATTTTCTCCTTCCTCTCGTCACCTTTTTGTTGTATTGATAAGAATACTAGTTTTTTCTTTTGTCTTCTCGTTCTTTCTCTACCCCTACCTGCTTCGATTTCCACGTACCACCATGACTAAGACTCAAAATCATTATGAGCAAGACACCTACACCATATAGTGAATTTTCCGACAATAATTACAAAATTTTATCAAAAATAATAACTCTCAAATATTGTGTATTTTCAAATTAAAAGATTATGTTTTTTTATATGAAAAGTTATAATTAATGAATTGTAAGTGATGTTTTATGTGGAAGATTATATCTTTTGATAGAGTAACATTTAGAAAAATATTTTTAGATATAAAAATTATGAGGCAATTGAAAAACGTCACTGTCTAAAAATTATGAAAAATTATTTTTTCATTTTGTGACTCAAATGTTATATTTTATATTATAAATAGTTATCTTTATAAAAATAATTATTGAAATAATATTTTTATCTAAAAATTATGTTTTGTAATATGTAAAGGTAAAGGTGTCTTTTAGATACAGAGAAATTTTAATGAAAAGATTCTTACAAATCTATACGTAGAATTTGCTTGTAACCATTTTAACACACAAAAAAAAAAACAAATAAGAGTGAAAAAAATAAAATTAAGATAAATATTATGTATTAAATGAAAATTCATAAAAGACATAAATATTTTTAGTTGCACGTTTATCAAGAATATTCAAATTTCTTATAATTTATTTATAATAGAAAATAAGTTTTAAGATCAAACAACTTTGTAATTTTTTAGTGTGTTTAATGGTTTGGTTTTATAAGTGTAAAGACGAAATTAGATGATGGTTTCATTATATCTTCAAAACTATTCACATAATTCCCTTTTTACATGTTGAGTGATGGGAGTAGAATAAATCTTAAAATAACTTCTACGAAAACATGCTTAAAGTCTAAAAAAAAAATAACGTATACAAAAAAATACTTAAAGTCAATCTTGTTAGTTCCTTTAAATTTCGAAAACCCCATTTATACCAACATCAAATCTTATAATATTTCACCTCCGAATGCTTTAAATTTTAAAATTGTTCTCTCAAGAACTTGGTTAATTTTAAAATTGATCATGTTGGTTAAAAATACGAAAACCTCCCTAAATACAAAAAATTTATACCTCGTTTAATTAGAATATTGTTACTTAATTTTTTAATTTTTTCACTCCAAAATTATGATATTTTTGAATTGTTAATAAAATAACCTTAAATAATTATTTTTTTAATTTTTCTTTTTTCATTGTCTCTATTTTATTTTTTAATTTGAAAATGTTGAATAAAAACTATTTTCATTATTATTTAATTAAATTAGGGTGAGACATTCTTTTTATTTTTTTATTTTCAATTATTTAAGAATAATTATGAATTTTAATATTTATAAATAACTAGTGACTGATAGGAATGAAAAATGAAGGGCCTAACCATGCATCTTGAAACAAAAGGGACTAAAGTGTACTTTAAAATTGTATTAAGTTTTTTTTATATTTTACTTGTTATTTAATATCATATTATGTTGATATAATATATTGACATGTAATAATAAATGATGATGTGATGTGTTAATAGGACCACATAACATTTTTCACCTCATACATTATTGTCATGTTAACACCATGTAAATATAAAATGTTAAGTAATATTTTGACTAATAACAATTAATCAATAGTTAGTCGAAAGGACTTTGACTTAAAATAAAAATATATAGACTAAATTGTATATAATAAAAGAATAAAAATTTATTCAAAATTTTTTTAAATATTTCACGAACTTTTGAAAATTATTATACTTATATTTTATGTACATTATTCAGAATATTACATGTTTAAAGTTTTTATCGTTCTCGTTTCAAATGCTATTAGGAATTAGAGCCGGCAAGTAGAAGGGCTTCAAAATTTCAGGTTTGAGCTGTGTGCACCAAGTTTCTAGTGTCCACACCATCCATCAAATGTCTTATGCCCAATTCCAGACAACCCCATGTTGTATATGGGCTCGAGCTGGCCCATCTTATATTGGGATGGTCTTTGTTTAAAAAAATAAAAAATAGTAGGTATATAATACGTATAATTCTCAAATAAAATTTTAAATTATTTTAAAATATTAAAATAATTTTTTTATTAATATAATTAAGTTTTTATATTTTTATTTTAAATTAAATAAATTTTTATAATTAATAATTAATTAATTGTTATTACTAAAAATATTACTTATCATTTTATATTTACATGGCACTATATGACATTAGTATGAAAAGTAAAATATATCACATAATCATATTATTATATCAAATTAATATATTATGTCATCATCAAGTATAATATATCAACATACCACATCAGAATTAATTATAATATTTTAACATATTATATCAGTATCATATGACATAGAATATAAGTAATATTTTAATTAAATTAATTATTAATTATAAAATTTTATTTGATTCAAAATAAAAAAATAAAAACTTAATTAAATGTAATAAAAATTTAAAAATTTATTTAATTTTTTTTTAATAATTTAGGGGTGCTTTTGTATATTATGCCTATATAGTATAACCAAATTAGGTTTCGCATTTCCCCTTCCAACCAAATGACAAAAAGAAAGAAATCATGTACTGGTAGCAGCTGCATTTAAGAGAGATGATGGTAAGAGAAATCAGAACAAATATATTTGAATTGACTGCCTTTCTCCGGGGAAGACAAAATGTAGACGGAGAAAGGAAATCTATCTTCATTCGAATAATAGACGGCAAGACACAATAGTGTGATTAAAGAAGATGTACGTAAAATCTAAGTAGGATTGTGTTGTGTAGTCTCTCAGTTCCAGTTCCAGCTCCAGCTCCAGGTGCTGCCCGGTCGAAAGATTACCTGCGGATTTGTTTGCTTTGAAATGGAGGCGTTACCGTTAACACGTGGTGGATAAGGAAGCAAGTATGGAAGCACAAGGACAAACAAGCCACATGGTTGTTGGCCGGAGGAGGAGTTTTGTACAATAAAAATCGACGCCGTTTTCAGACCACTAACTAGAAATGTAAAAACAAGGGCGGACCCAAGCAAACAGAAAAAAAAAAGGGTTTCCCACGTAATTTTGAACAAACTCAACCCCTTTTACAAAAAGGCGCAACATTTTTAACGACGATAAAAGCCACCCCTTTTTCCATCCCCGCTGTGTGTGTGTGTGTCTCTCTCTCTCTCTCTCTTCTCCCTCCGTCCCTCTCTTAGAGCTGAAGGAGAAAAAGGAAACAAAAGACGAACAGAACCGAAACTCTGAACTTTCACATCTCACTGGGAGAGGAAGATACTAGTAAAACCTAGAAAGAAAAAACCTTTGTTTGTCTTAAAAAGAAAAAAAAAATTTCTTTGTGTGTTATTTTGTTTGGTTCACTTTCTTTCGCCATTTCCTTTTTGCATGTAGATGCTCTTTGATAGCCCTAACTCGCCACCTCGACTCATTTCAACTCAATTTGCACTACTATCTCTTTGACTTTCTTATGGCCAATAACCCCAACGAGGCCCCCGCCGATGATTTCCTAGAGCAAATCCTCGGACTCCCCAACTTCGCGCCAACTGAGACGGGCTTGCCTGGCCCCGACGGTAGCTTGGCTGGAACCGCTGCCGCCGCTGGAGCGCCGATGTTGTTGCAGCTTAGCTCCGGGGATGGAGCCGGACATCTCGCTGCAATCGGCGGCGGGGGAGGCGGCGCGTTTCACGGACAGGTTTTTCCGTTGGGGTTGAGCTTGGAGCAAGGAAAAGGCGGCTTTTTGAAGCCCGAGGAAGCTTCCGGTAGTGGCAAGCGCTTTCGTGACGATGTCGTTGATGGCAGAGCTTCTTCTGTAAAAAATGTAAGATAATAATTTGATCATTTCTTTTTTATTTTTCATTTATTTAAGGTTCGCTCGTGTTTGCTTGGCTCACGAGGAACGGAGGAAAAGGATAAAAACAGTATAAAACCTTTACTAGTGGAGAAATTTCTTTTGGGAACTTAAGTAAGGAGCTTGTTTCTATGGTGCTAACTAGTGATGAATTTCTTTTAATTATTGGTCACTTAATTTTTTTTTCTTTTACACTAAATGGAGCCAATCTATTTGTCCTTGTTGGATTATTATAAGTTTTGCATTGTCTAATGTGGTGTGACAGCGGATTTATCTGTTTGATTTTATCATGATGCTCTGTCATGTGTGTTTCTGTCTAATAGCGGAGAAGACAAGGAAAACATGACAATTTTTGGAGCGGGGGGTGGGTTGGGAGTCACGGTTGTGAGATGCCAAGTTTTGGTATTTGACAAAGGAAAGAATACATCAAGGTCCTTCTAGGATTTTTCAAGTGGCGAAAATTAATTTGCAGGGTAGAATTAATCGATTAAAGAAGAGTCTGCTTCAACTGCTAATTAGCCACAAACCAGCATCATCAAATGAAAAAGAGTTTTACTCCAAAAATGAAGATTTTACTTGTCAAGGATTACAGAACAACTGGTTGAAACTTGAAACCTAGGGCCATAGCAGTGAGAACAAAAATATTCCCTAAATCTCCTTTATGTTGCACTTTAACGGCCATTAAAATGACTGTTAGTTGATTCCTTAATTTGTACTAAAGTCATGCTTTTTCTTATTTGCATTTGGGGATTGGCTCTTGGTTTAATGGTCCATCTGCCAGGAGAAACTGGTCCTGAGTAGGTTTCATGCCCCTAGCTGCCAAATTTGTCAACATCAGATTAGAGTTCTGTTGGTACTATCTTTTTCTGTAATTC